TTTTTATTTTTCCATTCATTAGAATTACAACAAAAATAAAATGATAAAATAAAAAGAATGAAATATTATCACATACAAATTTAAATAAGAAGTTAATTAAGTATTAATAGAACTTGTGTCTATTGTTCCTGGCTCAGGGGAGACTAATCCCGTCCCTTCGTCTTCGTCTTGTAGTTCAACTACATATGTTTGGTTGTGATCGAAACAGTGCTCCATGACGTCCATCATGTTTTTAATTACAACGTTTTTAATTTCTTTAGTGATGTCAATTTCGATTTTTAATTGTTTAATTATTTTAATACTTTCCGCATTTACTAGCCCATTAATCCAAATTACTATTGGAATTATTTTGACATCCTTTAATTTCTCTATTTTCATTACCCTATTTTTCAATTCCTTGTACATATTTCTTTTCTTCCAATAGGCTCCATTAATATTATGATCTGCCACAATAGTCATATCAATTATTAGACCAGTTTTATTCTTTTTATCTATTACATATATATCTGGTCTTTTATGATATAGTCCATCACTTTTTGGCATTATTTGTTTGTTCAATATCATAGTAATGTCATTGTATTGGAACATTGTTTCATATGGGGGTTTCTTGTATTGTTTATTTCATGTGTATTTTCTTATTATCCCATATGATGATGCCAATATGGTCATGTTTTTCAATTTGTGATTTTTTATGACAAATACAAGATAGTAGAATGTGTTCTACTGTGGCTATCTTGTCTTTACAAAGTGGGCAGTATTTCAATCTTTCATTTTTTAATATTTTATCTTTCCTGTACCCACTAAATATTGCTCCATCTTGCATTTTAGTTAATTGGAGAAATGCATTTTTCTTTATATTGATGGACTTCCATGCATTGATTGTAGTAGTTTTATCTACAAATTTTGACTCGAACCATCTTCTAAAATGTCCACTTGTTTGATTTCCATTTTTTGATGTATTGGTCGGTCATTATTTTCTTTATTTTTACTACTACTTCTTTTTCTTTTTTATTTTCAATCCCTTCATTTATTATTTCTTCTATTTTCGTTTCTGTGATTTTATGACTTAGTACTTTCTTAATTCTATTCCATATTCCTTTCTTGGAATACCATCTATCTATTATGTTATTTTTTATTTCACTCTTGTACAATAGTACATTACTGTTCTAATTATTTCATTAACATATTCGTCCCTTAGGCTTATTAATCCTTCACCAATTTCATTTATATTGACATATAGACGGTCTTTGGAGTTACAATTAATGTATTTTGCCTTTCTTAAATATTTTCTTATCTCCAAATCCATTCTATCTAAGTCAGTTACCTTCCAATTTAATACTGATGCTGAATATCTGAAGATGGGTATTACTTCAGTATTAATTCTTGTAATATAACTTCTATTACTACTTTCATCAGTATTTATTTCTTCCATTTTCTTCATCATCTTTTCTTTGATGATTTTACAATTGAATGTATCATTAATTTCATCTGACTGCCATACACCTAAATATTTATACAAGTCCTCTCCTTCAATTATTGGGATGTTTTGCATTCCATCTGGTATTTTATTGATGTTCTTTAATACCATTCCTGATTTATTTTCATTTCCATCCCTATTCCACTTATTATTTGTTTAATTTCATTGTGGATTGTTCCCATTTCTTCACTACTTTGTGTCATTATTCTCAAATCATCCATATATAATGTATGGTTTGCTTTTGGGAACTTCTCTTCTATGATTTGAGAAATTACATTCATTTTGATGAAGAAGAGTAGAGTTGATAATGAATCATATTGTAAAATTCATCAATTTAATACATCCTAATATTCATTATATTTATATCATATGAATATCTTCAATATGTTCATCATACTTTCTACAATGTCTATGATGACACCCTCTACATTAAAATATTTAAGTGCTTCTATTACCCATTCATGATTTACTGAGTCATATGCTTTCTTAATGTCATAATATGACTCTACATATTTTGGGTATTTCTCTTCTTTCTGCTGCTTTAACATATAACTGTTAATTAATCCTTCTTTAGCAGCAAGAGATTGCAGTTTACATCCCAATTGATTTTTACTAATTTTTAATGATTCACTATTCATGTTAATTCTATTGTGAATCTTCTCTTTCAATATGGAGGTAAATACTTTCATAATTACATTTGTACAACTGATAGGACGATAATTAGTGACATCGTTCCTATCACCTCCTTTGTGGATTAGTATAGTTCTTCCACTTACCATGTCTAGAGGGATGTTTTCTGGGAAGTTTAACCATTCATTGAAGATATTAAGAATGGAATCTCTTGATGATGACATTCTCTTCCAATAATACCCATATATAGTGTCAATACCTGGTGATTTCCAATTACTTATTTTCATCAGGCTTCAATTTAAATCATCCAATGTGATGATGACACTATCATAATTTCTGTATCTTTCATTCCACGAGGTGATTTGATTTATTTTCCAATGTTCTTTATTTAATATCACCTGTGTTTCATATAACGATTTCAAATATTCTAAAGTAATATCGTTAATTGGGTATATTTCATTTTGTGTTTCTTCTTTATTTTAATTTTGTTATTAGAATCAAACATGATTTTATTTGTATTGATTCTGACCCTTTCATTCTTATTAAATTTAATTCTTTCTTTAATCATTGTCATCATATATTTTATGTACTTTATTCTTTCATGTGCTTTAATTTTAATTTCATCTGCATCTTGTTCTTTCAATCTCATGATGCATTTTATTCTGTACCATTCCCTTGATTAGATCTTCTAATCTATTTATTTTCCTTAGGATTTCTTTTATTTCATCAAATTTATCTCATTTAAATTTATTTTAGAGATAATAATACATACACATTGAAATCATTTTCATATCTTCTTGTAGATTTTCTATTCTCCTGACCATACTCATTTATTATTTATTTCTCTTATTAATTTATCTGATTCTTTCATTTTCCAGTAGTAATTAATATTTACATATTTATCTATTTTCATTCCTTTAACTTGATTGATGATAGAGTTAAGATATTCATCATCAATATCAGTAGAGTTATTTTTTATGATAATGTTTTTTATTATTGGGTTACACTCTACTTTCCCTTCTATGATGGAGTTCATTTTCATTTTAATATATCTTTTAGTTGTTTCTTTTATTCTATGAGATATTTTAATATTATTAATGTATTCTTTATCATTATTTACATTAATATTTATTACTTTTATTATGCTCTCTATTTGTTCCCATCTTAATTTCTTATTTAATTTATTATTTAACAAATTAATTGCAAAACAATACAACACATCAATTAAAATTCTATTTGTTTGATTTGTTGTGTTTTCTTCTCTCTTGACTGATTATCATTTCTTGTTTTTTGATACTCAGTGTTTTGCTCTCTTCTATTTCCAGAATTGTCTTTTTCATAGGGGTAGTTTGGTTCATTTGTATTGTCCCAGATGATGATGTTCTCAGTATTGGTTGTGTGTTTATCACTAGAGTCATTGTTTTCTTCTTCTTCAGTTCCTTCTGGGATAAAAAATTTTCGATACTTTCTTGTTGTTTTGATATTATTTGTTTTTGTTCTTCATTTTCTCTTTGTGTATGGTCTAGTTCTTTTCTTGTTATTTCTGCAATCTCATAGTTTTGAATCGCACTTTTTTGATATACAGAGATTTGATTTTCTTTATCTCTTATGTTCTTCTCTAGCAGCTCAGCACTCTTCTCTAGCTCATCAGCCCTCTTCTTCTCCAGCTCAACACTCTTAAGGACTTCGTCCTTCTCTTTCTTCAGCTTCTCATAGCTAGCTCGGAGTGTTCGGATGGTTTCATCCTTACCTCCTACTTCTATGTTCCTTCTACCATTTGCTTCTTTTATTTTTCATTGTAATGTCTTATTTTCCTCTTTTAATTTAGAGTTTTCTTTTCTTATTTCATTATATGTAGTTTGAACATTGTTCATTTGTGTTTGAATCTTTTCTATTTCTTCTTCAAACTCTTTCCTGACTGTATCTCGTGTTTTTTGAATCATTTCATCTGAAATGGTTCGTTCTTCTTTTTTGTTTGAAGTTCTTTAATAGTTTCTTCTATTTCTTTAATTTTATTTTGAAGTGTGTTAATTTCTTCTTTGTTGCCTTCTTCTTCCTTTTTCTCTTCTTTATCTTGTGTTTTCTCTTTATTTTCTTTTTCATTTATTATTCTTGTAGTTTTACATCTATCATTCATTTCTTTAATTCGATTTTTGTTTTTGATTTCTTCTTCAATTGTTTTAATGTCTTCACTTTTCCAATCTTTTGTTTTATCTTTGAATTCTTCTTTGATTTTCTCCAGTGTTTTCTTCTTTCTTATTGAATATACTTCTTGGAGAATATTATACCATTTCTTTTCTTTACCTTCGTACTTTTTAAGTATTTCTGAATATTCTCCTTTTTCCCATTTTCTTGTTATTCTTTTAATTTTCTTTTGAATTTCTTTTGTTGTCAACCATTTAGGTTTCTTATTTGTATAATGTTTATTACCATTATACTTGCCTTGTTTTTTATTTGTTTTTCTTTGTGTTCTTCTTTTTCTATTCACTTTTTTCTTGTTATTTCTTTTATCATAATTATTATGTATTTTATTGCTATTGAAGTTCATTCTTTTCTTTAAACTTGAATACCTGTGTCTTGTTTGATTTTCTTTACAAGACTCTATGGTATTACTCAATAGCCATGGCAACAAAATTTGTTGTATATTCTGCATTGATAAAAGGATCTTAAAGAAAATAAGAATAAAATAACAACAAAATGAAATATTTAATAATTATAATTTATTAAAAATAAAAATAATTATCATTTTATTTTATTTGTTATTATTTAATGTTTTTCATAACAAATATCAATTAATAAAAATAGAATGATGATAAAGAATAAAAAAGAAGAAATTAAAATATAAAAATAAAAGAACTAATAAAAACAACTAATAAATAATAATAAATCAATAATGAAATTAGGATATAATGAAATAATGATAACATCAATGTATTTTAATGATATTAATGATTTTATTAATTTAGAAATAGGAATTAAAAGATTTCAAGGAAATATTGAACGATTTCATTTTAATCCAATTCCATTAAATGAATATTCAAGAAAATTATTTACCAATATTGAAACATTTCATATTTATAATGAAAATGATGAAATATTTAATGATGGAAAAATATTTAAATATGTAATATGGTATTTAGTAGAATATTCAAAATATTTACAAGAGAAAGAAAAAAGAAATATATATAAAAATATAGAATATACAGAAGAAGATAGAAAATCATATGGAAATACAATACCACCAGAAGTTAAATCACTTGGAGATAATTGTTTTAGTTATTGTGATAAATTAACAACAGTTAATATACCATCATCTGTCAGTGAAATAGGAGATTGTTGTTTTAATGAATGTTCATCATAAAATCAATTAATATACCATCATCTGTTATATCAATAGGAGATGATTGTTTTAA